ATTTTGCGGAAAAGGATTAATCTGTAACTCGAGGGCAACACAGTAATTTATACAGACCGGTATAATTGTGAATAGTAAGCCTGGTCTAATGGTTAGCTAAGCAAGACAAGCCGCAGCTCTGATCGAAGAGCTAAAATTTAACGGGCTTCTTTTTCGTGTTCGTCACAATAGTAAACTTCTAACTTTATTCGGGATTATTTTCATCTTTTTCTGTTTGGCAAAACATTTCCACTTTTCTTTTCCTCATAACCTTGTTTCCACCATATTAATGATTTCTTAAAAGCGGTAAAGAATAAACTAAATAAACCATCAAGACTTCCAATCCTAATCAGCAACCAACTATTTCTGATAATCGTGCTGATTCTGGTAGCAACAGTAATTGCAGTAATTATTTACCAGCTAATAACAATCAAGAACCAAAGCCTTATTGAAAAATATATGAAAGAATTGTGTTTAATGAAATGATCAGCCGTTGACATTCCTAAACGGAAATTTTTTTGAATTTTTAGATAAAATTGGGAGAATACGTAAACATATGACCCAATCAGCGACCGTACCAACAATTTATAAAGGCATCATATTACGACAGACCCCTTTCTCTTTCGACGGTATGGAGCTTGAATTATCCAAAACCGGGATAGTTGAAGACGCCGAAAATTTAAAGAACGATCAACTTGACACTGAATTAATTCAAACAGTCACTTTGCAAGAAGTTACTAAAGCACGGCCTGAAGAAGCAATATTCGAGCCCCAAGAGCTACCAACACCGACACGGCGAGAGATTGAATCATGGACACCAGACCAAGTATATGCGCATATATGTCGAGTAATTCCAGAGATCTTACATGAAGACAATGAGGAAACCAGAAAGATTCTCAACGCAGAAAAAATTGATGGCAGGGCTTTTATTCTTTGTGGTGAAGACGACTTTGCAAACATTGAGATTAACCACGCTGATGCGCTCGGACGAGAAGTTTACCGATTGAGAGGTATTGATCGAATAGATCATACGCGAATGGTTTGAACTAAGCACAGAGATATTAAGTAATACTTTAAAATGCTATACTATGGACATGGCTAGTTGCTCTTGTCGATCTATGCACAGTGGAAAGGTCACCAGATTTCGAAGATATAGCCGAGATGAATGCAGAGCAAGTTGCTGCTTTTCTCATTGCTAGAGCCAAGGAAGGTGAATTAGAACTCCAGAAGGACGATCTTAATATTATAAGCTATTGGAAAATTCCAGGAATAGCGTTATTGCAACAGGACGAGGAAAGGCTTATTCGTTTAGGGCTTCCCGAAAAATCTGCTAATTATATCGCAAAAGTTATTAATCGTATACGAGGTACCTGTACGGAGATTTATTTGTAAAGATGTGGGAAATTTTCTTGTCTAGATATATTTATTAACATTTTTGGGACCATAGGAGAGTATGGAATACTTTCAATGCCTATGTATCGAAAACCTGATGGAATAACTGGTAGGTAATATGCACATCTGCAATCGTAAAATTCGTGATATAGCATCTGACGGTTCGGTATCATGTTTGTGGACAGGTTTGCGCAAGAAGACCGTTGTAA